TTTTACAAACAAATCTGCTGTGGTCTGTGATGTGAATGAACATCTACTGAGTTGTTTTCTGGGGAAAAAGGCTCTGATGCTCCTGTTTCAGGAAGTATAAGTTAGTCGGAGGAGAAGGGGGTGGGAAACAACACATTCTCACACCCAAGGCGTTTAAATATGACGCGTGTGACCAAGCCTCAATATATGACGATTCGGGATGCCCCAGCGCGTCAGGAGACGATGATCAGGGACAAACAGCTGACACAGCGTCCCAGAGCGTCGGTATCCGACGCCGGTGGTGAGACGGACATTAGAACTACTTGTGAACTATTTAACCTTCCCCTCACCCCAATCCTAACCTTAAGGTCACAGTTTATGGACCTTAAGGTTAGGATTGGGGTGAGGGGAAGGTTAAATAGTCGAATAATGTCCGTGTGACCGAGCGCGTCATACATTGACACCAGCGGAGCCACGTGAACCAGTGTGTCCCTGATCGTCGTCCCCTGACGCGCTGGGGCATCCCGAATCATCATATATTGAGGCCTGGTCACACACGTCATATTTTGACGCCTTGGGTGTGAGAATGTGTTGTGGGAAATGACGAGTCTTACTCATTAATTTAGATAATACGCAGATGTCTTACCTTTGACAGCAAAAGTGACTTTGTGTTGTTGGACTCGTCTTCGTCTAACAGGGCTGGGGGCCGAGACGACTTGTCTACCTTCCACATGCAGGCTAAATTTACAGGCACTGGTAGAACATGTATTAATAACTGCGATCTTAATTCTGCAGTTTCCTGGAGGGACTGAAAAGAGCTCTAGGGTCTGTTAAAACTTTCCTAGCTTAGCGTTAATTGAAGGACTGAACCGCCACAATAACCACTGCTGAATGGTGCACAACCACTGTGACATGAAGTTGGGGCTTCTTGGGGAAATCCACCACATAACTGTGACCATATGAAGGTGGCAGGCAAACGGAGGGCACAGGATGCCAACCATTGTGTCTGGTTCAGCTTCAAACATTCGTCCTCTCCATCACCACAGATCATAACTCGTGTTAGAGGCTCATTTTATGGTTTATGACTGGAAAGTAAAAGTCTGAGTTTTCCGCAGTGATTTATAAAGTGAGCGCCCGCCTGACGGCGTGGATGTGCGAGGGCTGCTGAGGATCCAGACGTATCCGACACGTGAACCTGAGGGTCACTAAAATACCGTTATTTATATATTGGAACACAGCAAATAGGGTGTGACTCACTAGTAGGTATCAATACCTGACATCATCATCTCACATAATTAGCACGGTGTCCACATCCTTCTCCAGTGACGAGGATAATTTCATGTGGTTCCCGGCTGGAACTGAAGCCTCAACCATTAAATCAAACCAACAGCATAAGTACCACTTGGCTCTGCTGTCTGCAGACATGATTCTTCTCCAAAAACTCCCCATCAGATATGTTTATTGTTATCTCCTTCCTCAATTTTACCCTGGTTTTTTAAGTTCTCCATACATGAAAATGATCAGCTGACTCCGAGCTGAAACAGACCCGTCTGCAGGCCAGCTTCAGCCTCCGTGTAACTAAGAGAAGAGCTGCCGTTTGCCAAGAACCGTCTCTGGTGAGGTCGTCAGTCTTCAGTCGAAACCACAGGCGCACGCCAGGCAGATCAATAATCCCCATCAAGCTTCACCACAAGCCACTCAAAGCTCCGAGGACAGGCAAGCGGAGAGGAGTCAGGGGACTTCCTGGGAATCTGAGATGGTCTCCGTCTCCGAGTGGAAGAGATGAGGACTTGTCTCCTTTAAACATCCTATCAAAGAGTTCCTGTATTCTGATTAGACTCTTCCTTTTTAAGCTTAATGGTTCTCAGATTGCTCTGTAAATGGGGCTAATGGGGATGTCAGATGCCGGTCTTTAACAAAAATCAGGAATAACATGAAACAGGGACTGGAAAAGGAATTTTATTAGTGAAAAGGTACGAGCTGTCCCACCAAAACCTCTCCTATCCTTCCAGCCCAGACTTTGCCATTATTGCATCACACTAACTCGAAGGAAGTTGAAGTTGAAGGAAAATAAATTGAATTCTATTGAATTTCCATTAAATTAAACTGAATTTGCTGAGTTAAACTAATCTAAATTAAATCAATCTTCCAACTGATTTAAATGGAAATGAATCTTTATGAATATAGTCAAACTGAACTGAACTTAAATTAACTAGGTTGAATAAAACTGAATTTAACCGACCCAAATTATAAACAAATCAAGAAATTTTACTGAACTGAGACAAAAGAAATATTTTACTGAATCAGTTTAACTGAACTAAATCCAGTCAGTGTGACTTCAGTTGAACTGAATGGAATCAAAGTGGGATAAATTGAACTGAACTCCATTGAACTGGACTGAAATGGGTTTAAGCATCTAGGAGTCTTGTTCACAAGTGAGGGAAAGATGGATCAGGAGATTGATAGGCGAATTGGTGCTGCGTACTGTGATGTGTAAGTTGTACCATTATTGTCTGTCGTGGTGAAGGAAGCTGAGCCAGAAGGCAAAACTCTTGATTTACCAGTTGACCTACGTTCCTACCCTTACCTGTGGTCACGAGCTGTGGGTAGTGACTGAAAAAATGAGATTGTGGATGCAAACTGCTGAAATGAGTTTTCTCCACAGGGTGTCTGTGTCATGGTCTGTGTCTTCCCTCATGTGTCTCCTCGTGTCCTCCATCCCTCTCTATGTTCCCATTTTGTGTCTCATAAGTGCCCTCATGTGTCCTTTGTCTGCGTCTCATTTTTGTGTCTTCTGTTTGCAGCCCTTTAGATCATTCTTCCCATGTCCTGTGTTCATTTAGTCATCCCCAGCCCCTCCAGGTGTTCCTTCACGTTCTGTGTCCTTGTAGCTCCAGTCTTTTTGTCCCCAGCTCCCTCCTGGTTTTATTCATGTCTCTTAGTCTTCCCACCTCAGTTTATATATGTCTGTCAGTGTGTGTGTGTGTGTGTGTGTGTGTGTGTGTGTGCGTGCGTGCGTGTGTGTGTGTGTGTGTGTGTGTGTGTGTGTGTGTGTGTGTGTGTGTGTGTGTGTGTGTGTGTGTGTGTGTGTGTGTGTGTGTGTGTGTGTGTGTGTGTGTGAGTCCTTCCCTCAGTCTTTAGGTTTAGTTTTGTGTTTTATAGTTTTAGGTTTATCTGCCCTCCTCTGGCTCTGTTACCCATTTAGTTAATTGTATTCACCTGCTTTCCCTCCAGCCCTCACTCCACACACCTGTTTCCCTAATTGCTCCTCCCAGTCTATATAAGCCCTGTCTTGTCTCTGTGTTGCGTCAGTCCATTGTGGTAATTCTGTCAGTATTCACGTTCCTTATCTCTAGTATTACTTGTGCTTCTCGTGTCTCAGTGTTTGATCTTTAGTTTTTGGTTCTTGGACATTTTTGGATTTTTGGTTCCCTGCCTTGGATTTATTCTTTTGTTTCATCATTCAAATAAAGGATTTTTTCTTTATATCATCTTCTGCCTCGTGTCATCCTGGGGTATCTGCATTTTGGGTCCTCCCATCGTGACAGTCTGGACTCCCCCTTAGAGATAAGGTGAGAAACTCAGGGAAGACTCAAAGGAAGACCCAGGACATGTGAGACTATGACTCTTGGCTGGCCAGGGAACACCTTGGGATTTCCCCGGAAGGACTGGGCCAAGTGGCTGTAGAGAGGGCAGTCTGGGCCTCTCTGCTTAAATTGCTACCCCCGCGACCTGACCCCAGATAAGTAGACGATAATAGATGGATGGATTATTTTAATGAATAAAAATCAGTTCAATTGGACTGTACTGAACTTAGAGTTTAACTTAACTAAACTAAATTAAAGAGAAATAGAATTAATTAAACTTAGTTGTACTGAACTTACTGGATTAAATGGATCTCAGTGCAACTAGTCTCTCCCAGTATATCTACTGTTTGGAGCAGCCAAATACGACCTGCTCCTCTAGGGGAGATGTGCATGGCAGTGTTTTTTAAACTATGGGTCTGGCCCTTAATTGGATCACAGTGTTGCTTCTGGTGGGTCCTCAAACCTTCTAGAGCACCAGTTTATTTTAATCAGCAAAGGTCTCAAAGCACGACTCAACTTACACAAATTATGCCTGAGCTGAAAAGGTTTACTAAACATGGCTTTAAAAGTGCAGTGTGTGTGTGTGTGTGTGTGTGTGTGTGTGTGTGTGTGTGTGTGTGTGTGTGTGTGTGTGTGTGTGTGTGTGTGTGTGTGTGTGTGTGTGTGTGTGTGTGTCAGGCTGTACGGTGGCCTAGCCAAGGCCAGCGACTGGTGGATCCACTGGGAGTGCAGCAGCAGATTAATGTGGCACGCCAGGCCCCATGACCAGACGTGTTTGACATTAATGCTCCGCTGTATATTATCCAGCTTGCAGAAATGTTGGATGTGAGCGATGGGATCCAAGGACAGGGATGTTTAGGTACTAATTACCAAACAGCAAGGCACAAGTCTCGCTCCATATTTCCTTATTCCCGTGGAAACACTAGGCAGGCTCCATTTATTTTCCCTGAATGTTGTTTCTGGCACGGCAGGGTCTCGGTAAACATCGCTCGCCCACCATTGTAAATCCGACAGGCGCAGATCTTTCAAGTTAGACTCCTTGGAGGAAAAATGGAGACAGATCGGATGGCGGCGCTCGGGTTTTCCATCTTAATGAGAGAGTGGAGAAGAAGGATGGCGTTTGATCCCTGGCATGGAAGCCCCTATTTAAGCCTGTCAGCGGTCATCACTCTCTCTCTCTCTCTCTCTCTCTCTCTCTCTCTCTCTCTCTCTCTCTCTCTCTCTCTCTCTCTCTCTCTCTCTCTCTCTCTCTCTCTGTTATGGGTAGAGAAACAAAGCTGCACCTCTGGGCTTGGAGGGCGCTCTCAGACTCACTTTAACCCTTTTCAGGACCAAATAGAGACCTCTCACCCTCCACTCTCCTGCCAAACTGCAAGTAACTGCTTTGATTGATCACCTCCCTAGGAAAGAAAGAAAAGAAAAGACAGAAGCAGATCTGTGAAAATATTATTTTATTTGTGGAGCTTAGCTCAGAACAAACCCTCTCAGTCATCATGCTCCAATTTCAGATCATGAGCTTGTCCAAACCATGCAAGAGCCTCGTGGCTCTTTGAGGAAATCTTGCTAAAGTTGCAACCAGACATGGAGCCAACGACAACAAGCCCCAAGAAAAGTTTCCATTCTCCTGTTTTTAGACACTGAAACGTTTTAACTTTAACTTTTAGGCTGAGTATGTTGATGGAATCATCAGAGAAGGGGAAATATCCTTCTGTAGGAAGGACGGGGGGGGTGGGCGGGGAGGGGGGGGGGCTTCTCACCACACTGGACCTGGCCTGGAAGACGCTTTTCATCACAGCACTAATGGCTCTACCTAATCAGACCTGATTGGGACCACTAAATGAATAGTCTCTCCATTTATAATATCTTGTGGTAACTTAAGACAAAATCAATACCCTGACCAAATTCTGCAAATGTATGGGGAACCAATTGTATAATTAAACATTAAAGTCAATTATGCTATAGCCTATTTGACCATTATAGTCTCAAAAAATGATTCAAGAAGAAAATATTTACTATGAAATATAAGTATTTAAGTTGCATTTAAATATTTAATATCAATTTTAAAATAAAACTTAAATAATTAAAATAAAATCTAAATAAAGTTTCACCTAAATGTTTAGAATGAAATTTCAAAGAGAATACTCAGCAGAAATCTAGATGAGTAAAGTTAAACGTTGCTCCTATTCATAATAAAATCTAAATATTTAGCATTAAACTCAAATATGTTAAATCAAATTTAAACATAATAGGTTTAATTCAAATGAATAAAAATCTAAATATTTAGATTTAACTTTAAATATCTACTGCAGATCTAAATGTTGAAATCTAAGTATAAATGTAGTAAGTTTTTAACTAAATATTTTAATGAATTGCAATTTCAGACTGCTGTAAAATAACTGTAAAGTAAAAGCAGTCTGAAGAGAAGCCCTACATGGAGTTTTGTGGGTTTTCCCAGCAGATGGATGAAGAATCTGTGATTGAATGGACTGTAGGGGACTCAGAGACGTTGGATAGGGAGCCTCTTCACCCTGCCTGTATTTAGGTTTGTTTTTCCTTTTTATGGCATATCAGACTCACATATCAAGTAAATAGTGTGTTTTAAATTATGTTTATATTTAAACTGGAACACTTAGATGAAATGTTACGAATGTAAATTTAAAGTGACAATGTGTAGTTTTTACCATTAATCTCTGGAAATTTCCATTGAAATTTTGTTGTAAATTAATTCAAAGATGCCCAGTTGTTGAAAAATATTGGCAGTTTCATAACGGCGACGCCATATTGGATGCCATGTTTCCTTCTACGGAAGCACGTGAGGACAAAACACATTTACTGATTTGTAACAAATGGTTACAAAACTTTCACCAATAATAAACGTAGTTGCTTTACACATTTACCTTCACTCATTGCCAGTGATGAAAGGAAATCTGATGTGCTTGTCATCTGGCTGGAGGTTGCACTCCCAGTGATTTTTGATCTCAATGGCTATCCGTTGGTAAGGTCTTATTTGAGCACAAAAATAATGCTTGCTTGCACTGATTTAGGTATGCACTGCCCCCTATTGCCAGGGAAAATACACACTGTCACTTTAAAGTCTGAATATTTAGGGTTAACTTTATATGTATAGTTTGGATTTGGATTCTTTCAACCTGATATTGAGCTTTTACATGTTCAGATTTAAATCTACGTTTTTAGCTCAAATTCTAAATACATAGATTTCATTTTCTACATGAGTAGTTTAAATTTCTTAGATTCAAACTGTCATATTTAGATCTTACTTCAGATGTTTAGATTTGCAATCTAAATATTTTTACTACTGCTTGGATTCATGCTTAACTATGTACCAATTTTACAAAAATTTTCAAAACAAAAGTGGTGGAAAACGTGACTTTAACAATGTCACATACTTGTATGTCATGAGATGCTGAATGTGTTTAAATGTAGCTATTAAAATGCTAAATATGGCCAAATGTACAATCGGTGCCCCGTAAAAACGAATGTCTTAGCTCTTGCTGCATTACACGTGTCATGTTACCAGAGACAAAGTGGTTTAATTTTAATTCTTATCAACTAAAGGAGAAAGTTTTATTTTGAAAAAATTAGGTACCACAGTTTATAGCAACCAAACAATCAGATGCAAACTTTGCTCTAATCTTTGTTCAGAGTTGGTTTCTTAAAATGTTTACTTATTATTTAAAAAAGACAGCTTTTGGAAGTTGGAGTAGATCTAAAGATGTGCATAAGCTAAAGAAATTGAAAGAAAAGCTCAAAGCAGCACCCGCTGTGAAGACTGACGATCGAAACGAAACTGCAACCTGGAACGCTCATATTCAGAAAGCGTTCAGCATTAATCATCAATAACAGATGAAACAAGGTGTCTACCCAGGAGCCAGAGCTAGATAATAAACACAGGAGTCAGACTACACTTCTGCGGGCTTGGGAATAAATAAAGTGACTGACCTTTACATCAGCAGCTTGTAAAATATTTGGCTGTGTGGTGGAGATTGTATGAAAGAGAGCTTTGTGCAATGAGAAATAAATACAGACAGACACAATCATGTTTGAGTAAAAAGAGTTATGAGAAAAGTTTCACAGCAGCGAAGCTTGAAGAGCTGCTTTTGAACGCAGTTTGATTTATCTCCTGCTCCACTGGTGTTTTGTCGTGCCTGCCTGCTGGTGTGATTGAAATGCCGTTTGAAGAGAGAGCTGAATTATTACAATCCATCACATTTGGAGCTGGAAGGAGACATCTGACCTGCTCGCTACGACAAAAATGATCTTGTGTTTCTGAAAATGTCACTGGAGAAGACTTCAAAAGACAATCACATGAACAACATCTTCAGAACCAAAAATAAATATGTGTATGCGTATATTTTTATGTGTTGCTAGTTTGTTTTGTCTGGGCTTCGATTGGTGGATGACTTATTTGGCCAGTCTCTTCGCCACGTCCTTGTAGGCGTTCTCGATCTCTGTGTCAGCGGCGCAGGTGCTGGTGAACTCTTCGCGCTTGTAGGCGCTGTTCAGATACTTCCACACACCGGCCATGTCTGATGGGATGTCATAGCTGCGATACTTTTTAGCGACAACCTGGAAAAGACGAGAAAAGCTTCAGAACAACAGCAAAAACACAGGCCTTGAAGAAAATCTTACCTCTGTTTCACACTGGAAGCATATCAGCAGGGTGGAATGGCAGCGGAACGGTTTACTCGGGAGCTTCGCTGTGCCCAGTACGCACTGGGAGAGTTTTAGCTTCCTCGCTGTGTTCCCCGCTGGACTCACGAGATCACAAAATCCCTCGAGACTTCAAAGGTCACGGTTTGTTTACGCCATCCACCGTTAAACCAACAAGAAGGAAATCACGTTTGGTATGTTTTTCCTCACCACCAGGATCAAAGCCATGAAAAACACACCGCTGCTCTTCTTAAACAGTGCAGGATGTAAATAAGCTGTTAGGTCACATGTTTAGACGTAATCTACATAGATGTGAGATCGCATCACCGCAGTACTTTTATTTTGAAAATTACCAAGGGTTTTACACTGAAACCGAGTGTGATTTCCAGTTTGCGGTTTGCAACAAAAGTAGAACTCGATGCTAGCTTTAGCTGCGCAGCGTGCCGCCGCTAGGATGCGCCTGACAATTGGCGCATCACGGCTGGTTTGAATCACCCCCGTAGACTATAATGGGTTCTACTTGAAGCTGTGACGTTCCGCGCCAATGATGCTTCCAGTGTGCAGTAGGCTTTAGAGGAAATCAGCAGCAGATGTGGCAACTGCAGCACCTTTCAGCTAAATTTTAATAATAATTCAGCTGGAAAAAAAACATAAAATGTGAAATTCGTGAAAATGTGAAAGTTATAATTAAAAACATTTGCATTAACTGTCATGGGCTCAACTGTTCAACAAGAACTAATCTCGTTTTATCCAAACTCAGGTTGTTCAAAAAGACTATCTGCAACAAATGAGGAATTATTCAGGATGTTTCCATGAAAATTCTTCAAAAGATGTGAACTATCCCTTAAGGTAAGAACATTTTGTGCATTTCTTTTATGCAGTATTTTAGTTGCTTTATATTTAAATGACTTTGAAAAAATAAAGTTGACTTTTTAAACTCTAAATAATAATAATATTTAAACTCTCAGGTCCCTTACAGGTGATAGAAGAAAATCTGACTATACTGCAAATGTTTCAGTGTGAATCCAAATGCTGGAGCAGTAGAGTGGTTCTGAAATTAGTTTATAATAAGAGTGTTGAACTTTATGAATAAAATAACATCAAATGTCTATGTCGCACTTCAGAGAACAAATTAATTATTCGGGGTAAACATCTACGTTATATTTATCAGGCAACTCACGATGACGATCCCCGCCCATCCAGGTGAACTATTCACCTTCTTCCTTTCAGACATGAAGATTGAACAGCCTCAAAACCCGAACATGGAGGTTGTGAGGCTCATGGCCCCTGACCCTTAATCTCTCCTCTGAATTGGTGTTACTAGGTGTTTATTATTATTATTATCATTATTATATAATAATTATTTAGTCTCAGGTTATTTATTTTGGCGGATTAAGTGTTTTCTGAATAATATTTTAGGTTTTTTGTGTCAAATAATGTGAAAAATAAAACTCTAGTTTGATGTGTCTTTTAGATTAGATGGTCAACCAGAATACATTTTAATCCACCTGAGGCTGTTTAGATATTTTTTTACATTAAACAGCATGTTTGCCCTACACCCACATTAAATTACTTTTCTGCTTTCATCAAATGAACAAAATAATAATAACAAATATAAAATCATGAGGATGTTTGAATAAAGGTTACACTCCTTTATTATTACATCAATAGTTATCTTAACATCTCTATTTTATTATTATTATTACCTTTTGTTATATTACAAACCCTTTTACCTCAAATAAGTGAAAAATGTGAGAAAAAAATATATATAAATAAAATGTGATTGTTTTTTTTCTTGGTTTTGGCATCAAAGAGTGAAAACAAGACAAATGATTCAGTTTAAGCTTTACAACATCAATAGCAGATATAATTCCTCCTCTCACCTTGACTATGTGCAGTTTGGGCAGCAGGTTGCAGTCTGCTAAGGTGAGCTCGTTTCCATCCAGGAAGCATCTCTTGGAGCCCTTCTCTTCCTCCGTACTGTCTGCATCGATCTCCTCTGGCAGTGGACCACAGAGGTAGTCATCCAGCTTCTTCAGAGCTTTGGTCAAAGCCTTTTCTAGAACTAAACACACAAACAGGACTGACCTGAAGCTGCAGAGGAGATAAACATGAGGAGTGAGTCCACGAGGTGGCAGCACAACTAATTATGAGTTCAAAGATTAAAATCTAGACTCTGCTGCCACCTAGTGGATATAAATAATAACAGGGCCTTTCTGGATGTGTGACTATAAATGGCACAACGTGAGCAGCCCACCAGCGTTGGCCTCGGGTTTGGTGTTCTTTATGTAGGCTGAGAACTTGGCAAAGATGTCATTTCCAGCTGTGTTGGACTCTCTGTGCCTGGGAGCCAGTTTGGGATACCTGAGCAGACGGGGGTGGGGGGCAGAAACAGGAGGAGACACAGTCAGACCAAAGCATCTGGATGGGATTAACACCTGGACCGGAGCTCAGCTCAAACTCAGCTGGCAGGCCGGCGCTTTAGGCGTTCCCACACTGACGTCCATTTATAATGTAAGAAACTTTACAGGCAATAAAAGCAGATTTAGCCAGTGTTCACACACTAACTCTCAGGCCTTTTTTAAAGAGACAATAACAAAATCAGGAAATTCACCTCAATTTTTAAAGAAATTTTGTTTCTAATTTAACCATTTAAAAGGATCTGAGGCACTTAAACGTCACCAACAAAGGATTTGTAAGACCATGAACAACAGGTACACCAGTTAATGTCTGTTTTCATCACATATCATCTTTTAGTTGGCTAAAAGGTTTCCTGTTCCCTCAGCACCAGCGCCGAAGTGAATAAATCGACCCAAGAGCAGGATGTGTGTAGTCTGATACAGAACACGTGGGGCTGTAAAACCCTCAAGCTGAATTACTTTGGAGGAGACAGCATTTCCTCGAGAAACTCCTCGATCTTGTTGACGTCCGTCTTGACCTCCCCGTCAAAGGTAAGGAATGGAGGGTGCGTCCCCGGGGCCAGGTTCTGCAGATCTGCCGGTTTCCTGTACAGAAAAACAGGTAGTTGTCAGGGCGACAGCTAGAGCGTGAAGTAAAGTTTGTGCACATTGGTTAGATGCCGACCTCTTAAGGTCAACAGTGGTGACGTTGAACACCACTCCTTTGAGCCAGAGGATCATGAAGAGGCGCTGAGAGAAGGGGCAGTTTCCGATGCTTTCTCCATCACTTCCTGCCTGTACGGAAACACAACATGACAAAATCAGTCAGAAAGAACCAGAATGGCCACCCATAGATGCCACTTTAAAGTGTAATCATTAGATGTACATCTAAAACTGGTTCATTTTTGGTGTTAGCCCAAATCAAGATGGCCGCCAATGCTCATAAATGTAACAAAACACAAAAATAATGAAACTAAAATTGGGTGTCATGGTGACAAAGAGTGATTCCCAACATATGCTCAAAGTGCTAACTCATTGTGCAGCAAAATCTGACCAAATCAAATCGACTCCATCATCCCTCAGCGTGTTTTGGTTTAAAATTTAGACACAAAGAACTCTGTTGTAATTTCACACAGCTGTGGCTGGTGAAACACTAGGTTTTCAGGGCTTGGCCTAATCTCCAAAAGCCATCTGTCCTTTGTGCTCTGCTTGTCCAGAATAACAGCCCCAGCACATAGCCCCAAATCACCAGCAACCTCCACCAGTTCAAGGAGTCCCGTGGCCAGCTTAGAGATGTAGTCCCACCAATGTGTTTTAAAGTAAAAAATGTTAAAGTCCCATTAGTTGTCACACACACTAATGTGTGTGCGAAATTTGCTCTCCGCATTTGACCCATCCCCTGGGGGAGCAGTGAGCTGCAGACACAGCCACACTCGGGAACCATTTGGTGGTTTAACCCCCCAATCCAACCCCCTTAATGCTTAGTGTCAAGCAGGCAGGCATTGGGTCCCATTTTTTCAAAGTCTTTGGTATGACCCGACCAGGAATCAAACCCTGATCTCCCAGTCTCAGGGCGGACACTCTACCACTAGGCCACTGAGCTGGTGGGATCCACCTGTGGGCTCCCTGCCAACCGAACATGCCTGAAACACTCATGTCCCACATGCCAGTTGTAGTAATAGAATCAGAGCACCAGGGCCACCCGATCCTCATATCTCCAAAAATCAAATGGAAAAATAGAAAACAATTACTAATGGAATATTTTCTCTAACATTTATGCAAAAGCTGAAAATGAATAGACATAACAAGAACTATGCAGATTGTTTGTACTGTCATTACTTTTACATTGTATTGGACCAGGAAGCCAGCTACTGGTGTGGAGCACTGATGCACACTTTTCGACTTTCTAACTCATTTATAATAATCTTGGGCGGCACCAGGCGGTAGTAGGGGTTGCTACAGCATTGGCAAGATTAAGCCAAGCAACAGCTTGGAAACCCCAAAGAAGCTGCTTAGCAACTGTACAGCACCTGCAGGGAAATAATCCTGGTGGTCCTGATGATAATCCATTTAATAAATAACTTGTCTCAAAACGTTAATGGACAGGATTTCTAGGTGCAGCCTTGATGTTGAGGGTGTGGAGTTTGGTGGCAGGAGAATCTCGTGTCTGCTTTATGCGGATGATGTTGTTGGGGTTATAGTTCAAACAAATAATTTGTGAGCTTTTACTTACTTTTTGTATTCTTCAATGAATTCGTAAATATGGAGATATTTACCGATTTATTAATTAATTAGGATATCCCGAGATATCCGTGGGGCACCACCCCTTCTAATTAGAAAGGGATTGAATCCAAACCTCTTTATCAATCTGGTCTAAACGTTCCGTGAATCCTAACGAGCTGCAGTTGAATAATTCATATCACACAAACAAACTCAATCTGAGACAAAAATCTTAATTGAATAACATTTATTAACTAATAACATCACTTCAGCTCCTTCTGAAGCGTTAATCAATATCAACCAACTGATTTTATCAAATGAATAACAAGTAATTAAACAATGAAATAATAATGTAAAACAATCTGACCCAATAAGTGTGTGTTTTAGCTCGAGTCCCCCCCAAACACTAAAAACAAGTATGTGTGTGTGTCCCTAAACAGGGAAAACCAGAATGTGTGTGTGTGTGTGTGTGTGTGTGTGTGTGTGTGTGTGTGTGTGTGTGTGTGTGTGTGTGTGTGTGTGTGTGTGTGTGTGTGTGTGTGTGTGTGTGTGTGTGTGTGTGTGTGTGTGTGTGTGTGTGTGTGTGGGTGGGTGGGCAACTTGCACTTTAAACTTCCAAAGCACTTTCAATCACAGTAACTTAAACTTAATTCACTCAAAACACTTCAAAAATATCAAGAAACAACACAGAAGATCAATCATAAATGAATATCTGATAGTTTGTCAGCCTGGCCACAGCATGAAAACTATTTAAGATATTAAACAATGACAAACAACAAAACGGCTTACTCTTAAAAGGATCCGATGGCGTTTTTTGGTACGGAGAAGAGAAAACCGATGTAATTTGAAGCAATGGCGCGGTTTTATTGCTTGTTCTGAGCTATAGAGAAAACGGGAGAAGAAGATAGAGAAAGAAAACTTTGAACGAACGAAAACAGCGAGGCGTCCCCCAGATGTTCCAATCGGCGTTCTCCGTTGATTTGATGGTTTTCCGCTGCTTTCATCAGCCAGGCCTCGTGCCTGAGTCCAGAGCCGTAGCAACGAGCGAGTCCTTCACCGCCAGTTGGACTGGACAAAAGAACGGAGTTAGGTTTCGTTTCGCTAGAATTTATAGCTTTCAGCGGCTGGCGGGCTGAGACTGTGTGGCTCCCGCACATGCGCAGAACGTGTTTCCGGGGTTCGGCGGTGACATCATCATATTGCTTCCAGCTCAAGGAATCATGGGAAATGAAGTTGTAGCTGGTGCTGACTTTTATTTATGCTCTTCAGAGCAATTTTGGCACAGTCTTTTGGAGAAATTACTGCATAGTAATTTTCCCATGAGGGCAGACCCTCAACAATGTGGTCCTCCTAGCTTTATCAGGCTCTGACCTACAGTTCTTGCTGGGGAGGTTCACAGCAGAGTGTGAAGCAGCTGGGATGAGGATCAGCACCTCCAAGACTGAGGCATGGTTCTCGACCGGAAAAGGGCGGCTTGCCAACTCTGGGTTGGGAGAGAGGTCCTGCCTCAAGTGGAGGAGTTCAAGTATCTTGGGGTCTTGTTCACAAGTGAGGGAAGGAGGGAGCGGGAGATCGACAGGCGGATTAGGGCAGCGTCTGCAGTGATGTGGACGCTGAACCGGTCTGTTGTGGTGAAGAAGGAGCTGAGCTGGAAAGCCAGGCTCTCAATTGAACAGCCCATCTACCTCCCAGTCCTCACCTATGGTCATGAATTTTGGTTAATGACCGAAAGAACAAGATCGTGGATACAAGTGCCCGAAATGAGTTTTCTCCACGGGGTGGACTCTGCCTTCGGGATAGGGTGAGGAGCTCGGATATTCGGGAGAGATTCGGAGTCAAGCCGCTGCTCCTCCATAATGAGAGGAGTCAGTTGAGGTGGTTTGGGCATCTTGTTAGGATGCATCCTGGTCGCCTCCCCAGGGAGGTGTTTCAGAAATGTCCTGCCCGCAGGAGACCCCTGGTCGTCCCAGGACACGTTGGAGAAAGTACATCTCCGAACAGGCCCAGGAACGCCTTGGGGTCCTGCCATGTTGCCCTGGTGATGTTGGACCTCTCAGCTGCATTTGACATGGTTGACCATGACATTTTATCGTCCCGCCTTGAGAACTTGGTCGGCATTAAGGGATCTGCACTTGACTGGTTCTGCTCCTACTTTGACAACAGGTCTATTAGAGTTAGAATGGACGACTGTTCAACTCCCTCTGCTGCTCTCCCTTGGGGCGTGCCACAGGGGTCTATCCTCAGCCCCCTTTTATTTAACATTTATATTCTTCCACTAGGACTAATCTTCAGGAAGTTTAACATTAACTTTCATCTTTATGCAGACGACTGCAAGATTTATGTTCCATTGAAGACTTTTACCTCCATCCAGCCGCTCCTTCATTGCCTGAGTGAGGTTAAAGACTGGCTGTCAGCAAATTTTCTGCTGCTGAATGATTTTAAGACCGAGTTTATTGTTTTTACTCCTAATGGCTTGTCTTCCTCTGCTCCTGATTTTTCTACTCTTCCTTTTAAAATTAGTCAAACAATTGTCAATCTTGGAATTAAAATGGATGTGGCTCTAAAAATGGACCCTCATGTTAATCACATGGTTAAATCATGTTTTCATCAGCTGAGACGTCTTTCCAAACTAAAACCCATTCTGAATCAGCGCCACCTCGAGACAACCATTCATGCTTTCATCACCTCAAGGTTGTACTACTCCAATGCAATTCTGTTTGGCATTTCAAAAGCCGCATTATCTGGCCTTCAGCTGATACAAAATGCGACAGCAAGATTTCTGACCAATACTGGCCGTCGGCAGCACATCACTCCAATTTTAGCAAGACTTCACTGGCTTCCTGTGCACTACCGTATATGTTTTAAAATTTTATTGTTTGTTTTCAAGGAGCTGAATGGCTTAGCACCACCTTACATATCCGAGTTGCTCACTCCTTATGTGCCAGGCAGGACTCTCCGTTCAGGTGACTTACACCTACTACAGATTCCCCGTCTACGCGGCAAAACCCGTGGTGAATGAGCTTTTTCTGTCTGCGCTCCGAAACTCTGGAATGATCTCCCGCTGAATATCAGACTCTCCTCCTCCATTGGTGTTTTTAAGTCTCACTTAAAGACTTACTTTTACTCCCTTGCTTTTACTGCCTAGCTATTTTATTGATGGTTTATTTACAATGTTCTTTTACTGATTTTATAGATTTCTCTTGTTTGGTTCTTTGTGCTGTGCTCTAGCTGTTTTATTCTTTTATATTATTCGTTTAACCTTATTTGTTTTTGCCCCTGTACAGCACTTTGGTCAGCTCACATGCTGTTTTTAAATGTGCTTTATCAAATAAATGGAATGGAATGAATGGAATGGAATGGAGGAGCTGGTGGAGGTGGCCAGGGAGAGGACGGTCTGGAAGTCCCTAGTTGGGAGGCTGCCCCCGTGACCCAGGCCCTGGTTGGCGGAGGAAGACGAGACGAGAGACGAAACTTGTCTCATAACCCTTCATATGGTGTTTCATGGCCCACAATTGGGTCCCAATCCCATCTTGAAGAATCAGATGTGTGCCGAGTTTACAGAACCCAGATCAGTA